TAGATTATGATCTGGCCCCGTATCCATGGAACCGTTCTCATCCTTTGTGCCTTACATTATGATCTGATCCCGTATCCATGGAACCGTTCTCATCCTTTGGCCTTACCTTATGATCTGGTCCCGTATCCATGGAACCGTCCTCATCCTTTGTGCCTTACATTATGATCTGGTCCCGTATCCATGGAACCGTTCTCATCCTTTGTGCCTTACCTTATGATCTGATCCCGTATCCATGGAACCGTTCTCATCCTTTGTGCCTTACATTATGATCTGATCCCGTATCCATGGAACCGTCCTCATCCTTTGTGCCTTACATTATGATCTGGCCCCGTATCCATGGAACCGTCCTCATCCTTTGTGCCTTACATTATGATCTGGTCCCGTATCTATGGAACCGTTCTCATCCTTTGTGCCTTACCTTATGATCTGGTCCCGTATCCATGGAACCGTTCTCATCCTCACGCATGGATTCTGTTCTCGAGCCGAATTTCTTGTTCCCGTTATGTAATAAATTAATCTTATTTTGTCAATTATTTGGAAAAACATTGAAGAGACTTAAAAGCCAGAAACTGTTTTCACTGTTTTCATTTGACTTTTTGATCATTTGACATTATTTAATCGAGTTAAAAGAAATTAGGTTTGAGCACAGAATCTCTGCTGAAGTATGGATTTTGTGCTCAAGCTTAATTTCTTGTGCCGGTTATAAATCATAAAAAAGTCGTATTTTGTCAATAATTTGGAAAACATTTAAAGGATCTTTAAGTGAAATACTCCTTTCAATCTTTACAATTGACTTAAGTAGGTAACAAAAATGTCGGTTTGAGCACAGAACCCATCCTTGAGCGTGAGAACGGTTTCATGAATGCGGACCCTGGTGACGCCGGTGCTGTAAGTATGCTACTAGTGTTTATTGCGCCTTCGGACTGTAACACGTGGAACCTTTGGATAATTCAATGGTTTAACGAGGAAACACGGAAGGTTGAACGCAAAGAGTTTCACCAATTCATCTTCAAAACGTTCATAAATTGCTTCAGTGAATCGTGTGCTTCATCAATGTAAACGAGAGAAGTTTTAAATACTGTTTCACCACATAACAACGTGATAATCCCACATTTTGGTAAAAAAAATATAAGTGTGTTATTGTCGTTTTTCAATCCAAAACGGTACTGATATTAACATGGTACAATGGTCGAGATTCAACACCATGGTAGAAGCGATTTGCCAGCATTTTATTCCTTAGAATAAGATCTTTCAGACTCAAAACTCTGAGAATTTTCGTCCTGAAGCTAAAAAATCTTAACCTATTGTTGAGATTTCTTGAGTTTACATTACGCGGGTGTGAAGGATTCCTACACACAACATCACATGCAGAATACGTCATTTAGCCTATCAAAGTAAATAAGACTAACAGACGGTATAGCATTTAAGATATTCAGTCAATTTGTTGTTTATTTCTCCATCGTAACTTCAGGATGATGTTATACAGATGACACTCATCCCTTGTCGATAAAAATTCTTCATGCATGTTTTGAATATGGTCCATCAAAGTTATCAACCTAGGATAAGACAGAAATCGACATTTCTTTGTTATTTGTCAAACTATTGTTACAGCTCTGTACTAGAATGTGTAACCGACTGGCTGGTTAACTGACTATACAGCAGGGGCACGAATTATCTATCGCTGGTTAACTGACTATACAGCAGGGGCACGAGTTATCTATCGCTGGTTAACTGACTATACAGCAGGGGCACGAGTTATCTATCGCTGGTTAACTGACTATACAGCAGGGGCACGAGTTATCTATCGCTGGTTAACTGACTATACAGCAGGGGCACGAGTTATCTATCGCTGGTTAACTGACTATACAGCAGGGGCACGAGTTATCTATCGCTGGTTAACTGACTATACAGCAGGGGCACGAGTTATCTATCGCTGGTTAACTGACTATACAGCAGGACCACGAGTTATCTATCTTCAGGGGTTTTATTCCGGCACATTTCACTGTAAGACATTTTTAATCGACTCATTACTTTTCCTGATAATAAATATGGGTGGATGCAGTTTGGCCGTGTTAAGAAAAATGTAAAAATATCACCAAAATAAAAATGACTTTAATAACATTGTCGCTTTTGTTTGTTTGTTTGTTAATATATATATTTAGTCACTCGACGGATACTTGATGAGTAAGGTATATGCATCATTTATAACATTCAACGCTTTGGGTATGCGAGTGCACACAAGTCCGAAGGTCAAAAGTCACTTTCAGAAAAAAAACAATAATGTTAATCCATTGTTTCTCATAAATGGTAATATCCCATTGTTCTTCATACATAACTGCCAAACTCACTCAACAACTATTTTATTAGGAATATGGTGAGTCGATAATATATATTTCATAATCATGTGCCAGGATAAAATATCTTACAGAAATCTTCATTACGCCTATTTGTCCCATTTGTCATAATGTTCCCAAGATTGTTGATATTTTATCTCTAGAAAAACAAAAACAAAACCCACACAAAAATATCACTCTTCGTATTAAATAAACAATTTTGAAATATGACCATAGACATTTCAAATGGAGAGATTATATTTAGTGACTAAAATAAACTGTGTAGATCTTTAAAAATAGGTAAAATAAATCTTCTCAAGCCAAAAGTATACCATTATGTCACGTTGATCGACGTCTATATGACACGGAGCATATTTACGAATTAAAATAAGGATAAAAAAAACCTGAAGTTTGAACTGTTTAACTAGAAGAGATTATCGCCCCTTAGACCATACAATGTATGACCAGTACAGCTGTTTCAAGTTCAACGTGTGTTTAGCAAAAGCTTTAAATGCCAATCGGTATGACAAGGGTCAACAGATAAGAATTGGTGTTTTTATGTAACCGAAAAAGGGGGCAAAAAAATGCAGGGGGTGGGGGAGGGCTATTAAAATCATGAGGTTGGTTTTCGTTCAATTTTCGTTCAAATATTTTGCTTTTTTTACTTTGAGCTCATAATGCAATGACGCTTTCATTTACAGCCAGTACCCAAAATTTATTAAAATTTTCATGCATTTTTACTTTTTCTTAATTGAAATTTGCTAGTGCTAATTTGACTACTATTGCTATTGTTACAAAATTTCACGTACTTAAAGATACGTTTCGTATTGGCTGGTTGAAACGAATGACAAGTTATTCAGATTAAATCGATTTACTATGCCATTTTGTTCTGTCTTTCAAAACAATGGCAGTGAAATTTCATATTCTAGAATAACCCTTTATAAATAGTTTTGCGAAAAATTTGAAAATATTGTCAGATAAATATTAATTATCTTTCAGCATGTCCATTTTCATTTCAGAGGTGCAATTTTCCAGGAAAATTCAATGAAAATGGATATCAATACGTGAAAGTTAGTGAAAAAATGGACAAGCTGCTGCGAATTCTTTTGACACGACGCTGTATATCTCGGATTGTTTGGGACCAACCAGATGAGAATGTAGGCCGAGGGAAACAGCTCATTGGGTTGGTCCTAACACCGAGTGTAAATAGTTTAAAATGGTGATTGTCAATATAAGGAACAACTGTTTTGCAACATGATCAATTAGAGAACAAATGCTACCTGGCATTACGTATATCATTAGTTATGCAAGCCCAGACTGGTGAGCGTAACTGCCAGCCGACCAGAGCTTGCTAGGCAACTGTTAAAACCACTGACTAGAAATGGTTGCTACAGAGACGAGAATGGGTTTATGAGCAACAGGATGAAAATTTGATTTTTAATCCTTTCTTTATTAAAATCCTAAAAAACCCATTCAGGTCTGTTGTTGCAAACCGTTGTCAACCAAACCGTTTGCCAAAGCATGTTAGGCAACAGTCAAAACGATTGAGTGGTAAATATGACTGGGTGCTGCACGACTTTTAATGGGAAAATAGTTAGATTTGTTTGATGTGTATCTAAATAGAGATCTTGTTCTTACATTTCATTTGTACAGTCCTGATATAAACCTTCAAACGCTGTACAGTAAGAACCATATTACACGTGAATGTTTTCCAATCGGAAACTGTGCGGGCATTTCCGCTAAACTGTTTGAGTAATCGGGGAACAATCATAATGCAAATCATTCGAATGACCTCGGCTGATTCCGGTACCCTCCATCAATACTACCGAGATGTGACGAGTGAATGTAAACCTGTTTCTCGAACCGAATGAGACCACAAAGAACGGCAAAATCATTTTGTCTTTTCTACCGCGCGTCATGAAATATGCTGCATATCATCATAAATGTTAAAAAAAAGCATTTCAATTCTTATTTGACACAATCTGATTAAAATTATATGTTACATGGCTTCGTTAACTTCGTACTACGCCTGAACATCGTTCAGGCGGAGCCATGTAACAGATGATTTTAATCAGATTGTATTTGACAGATATCATGAAGTGCGTTAGTACCTGATTGTCACCATCAAGACAGCAGATATACTGATATATTGCAGTGTTCGGTATTCAACACAAACATGTTGTTTATTTAGTGATAATCTACTGTTTGAGCGTGGAATCTCCAGCAATTCCCAACAGGACTAAAAGTTCTAGGTCCCATGTCAGTACTATAGAGAATGAAATACGACGATTCTTACATCAGAAACAGCCCAAACAGATTGAGCCAACAAAGAACAACATGTAATATTCAAACAAGTAAAATTCGGCCATAAGGTCTAGATCTCCCGGCGGCGTTTGAACCTCGCTAGTAGGTGTGGGCTCGACTTTCAGTGTCAAAGACTGTCCGATATTGTTGTATGTAAAAGAAAAGAAAAGAAAAAAAGAGTTGGAGGCAAAATAAATATAGATCAGGGACCCCAATTCAAAGTACACATACATGTATACAGTATACTGTACATTAGGACATGCTCCAGTAAGTTGGCATATCGAGCCATCAAACAATGCATGCCTTATATAGGCCCTTGACGTAACCAATAATTCCTGAGTTATGTCACAATAGGCACATTGATCTAAGCGCAAGACGGACCTTGCACGAGGAAACGGCTTATAGATAGCCCAGTATAGCGGCCAAAAGAAACAAAACGCTTGTAAATCTTCAATAGACATTTGAATTCAAAATACGAAATAAAGGAGACAAAGTGTGTGATTTGTTTCATTGCTGGATCAGACTTTTGACCTTAGTTTTTGGACAAGCGAGGTTTCAGACTGCTGCGTCTAACGGGCCTTCGGACAAGTGGGCAATCAACGGATACATCTTCTTTGCATAACGCATGCGTGCAGGAATGAACGTAGCGTACATATGTTGTGATATGATTTGTGTATAGTCTTTTATTCATCTACCAAAAAAAGTTATTTATAAACAGACGCGATCGATTCTCGTGACTACTCCCTCGTCCGGAGCCTCAAGTCAGACATTTAAAGATGGCCGCCAGTGGCGGTTGGTTGTGATGTATAAGTTACGACCTGCTTTCCGTCGAGTCACCCAATGAAAACTCGCGATACATTCAACTTAGACACAGCTGGGCCGTTGTTGTGTCTGAATCATGTAAAGATATATACTAAAACCAACACTTAATCGCGTGTTGACCGTGTGTAGGAATAGCCTCCTCACTGGAAAGTATCTACTGATGGTCGACACACTTACGTACGGAGAAAAGGTAAGATTGGAAACACCATAGTCCTTGTACTCTTATACTACGTGTGTGACACACCTATGTATGCACATGTGTAAGTTTGACATATGTGTAGAAAATAATATTACGATCGCATCAAAATCTATTTGATACAGTGCTAGACTATAGGGGCATGAGAATGAATTAAGTCATTGTATATATGTCAGGACCTTTCCGATTTTGTCGCTGGCTGTGTATTACAAGTCTTGAAGTAAAGTAGTATGGGCACATAAACACACCAATTTGAAATTTGATATACCACTACCCCATGTTCTTAGAATGTTGACCAAGTGTAACTGTTTTATACTGTCTTTCATAGTTGCTGAAAGTCTCGCTCAGTAAAGATGTCGGAGATAAAATTATGAATATTTCATCTTTAGTCATACATCGCTCTTCAATCCCTCAGTGATATATACTATACATTAAAACTATGCAGCAAAGGATTACACCTCGATGTCTCGTCGGTCATAAAATTTTAATATTGTCGTTAAAATCCAAATCACCTATAAGCTCTCTGAAAAATGTACACATCGTCCCACAGGTAGGTCATCGAAGATTTAGCTCGGTTATACCGTGTCGATACGTACGTAGATCTACGAGAGAGTTTTGCCCAAACTAGAAAATCAACTAAGTTGTTGAGTGTCCTCCCAGTTGTACGTATGTGTGTCTTTTAACGTTTCGCTTATCATTTCTGAATAGAAATACCAGTGGACGATAATTGAACTATACTTTATAAACAGACTTATATTACAGGCTAGTTAATCAAGGTAAACTAACTATACTTTATAACACGTAAACAGACTTATATTACAGGCTAGTCAATCAGGATAAACTAACTATACTTTATAACTCGTAAACAGACTTATATTACAGGCTAGTCAATCCGGATAAACTAACTATACTTTATAACTCGTAAACAGACTTATATTACAGGCTAGTCAATCAGGATAAACTAACTATACTTTATAACTCGTAAACAGACTTATATTACAGGCTAGTCAATCAGGATAAACTAACTATACTTTATAACTCGTAAACAGACTTATATTACAGGCTAGTCAATCAGGATAAACTAACTATACTTTATAACTCGTAAACAGACTTATATTACAGGCTAGTCAATCAGGATAAACTAACTATACTTTATAACTCGTAAACAGACTTATATTACAGGCTAGTCAATCAGGATAAACTAACTATACTTTATAACTCGTAAACAGACTTATATTACAGGCTAGTCAATCAGGATAAACTAACTATACTTTATAACTCGTAAACAGACTTATATTACAGGCTAGTCAATCAGGATAAACTAACTATACTTTATAACTCGTAAACAGACTTATATTACAGGCTAGTCAATCAGGATAAACTAACTATACTTTATAACTCGTAAACAGACTTATATTACAGGCTAGTCAATCAGGATAAACTAACTATACTTTATAACTCGTAAACAGACTTATATTACAGGCTAGTCAATCAGGATAAACTAACTATACTTTATAACTCGTAAACAGACTTATATTACAGGCTAGTCAATCAGGATAAACTAACTATACTTTATAACACGTAAACAGACTTATATTACAAGCTAGTCAATCCGGATAAACTAACTATACTTTATAACTCGTAAACAGACTTATAGTACAGGCTAGTCAATCCGGATAAACTAACTATACTTTATATCACGTAAACAGACTAATATTACAGGTCAGTAAATTAAGATAAACTAACTATACTTTATAACACCAATTTAATACCTATAGAAATGTAGGTCATGATATGACATTTATAATTACGGAATTGAAAAACATGAAAGTGTTAAAATTTACCGTTGAGTAACATGCTGACATCAGAACAAGCTGACTGTACTGGTCACTTCTTACACCCTATCACCACGGACATTGATGATGGGCAGTTTGAACAAGCTGACTAGTACTGTACTGGTCAGTTAATTCTTACACCCTATCACCACGGACACTGATCATGGGCAGTTTATTATCTGTTAAATTTTAGCGGCCCATAAACGTGGTGAGGTCGTACGGGGCCACACGACAGAAGATACACAAACGATTGGTGTGCTAAGAGAAACGCGAAAATGTGAAAGTTGTAGAAGAAAGAGAAAACACAAAAGGTCATGATATCTAACAGTACTGCAATCGGGAACCGTCCGCACTTTCCGTAAACGAGAAAATACTTGATTACGGAAAGAGTCGACAGTTCCCGATTGACACCTGACTGTTGTGCATACTTTTGAAATACCTCTGTAGTTTTTCCCAAATTAGATACACAAATTAGGAATAACTCTTCTGTTCCCGCTTATAGTGGACACCATAAATAGTATATATAATCTCATTTTACTGGGTCTTTGTGCAATTGACCTGTGTAGTTGACCATTGGTCTACTGCGAACAATTGAGTGTACTATTATTTTCGTCTCGGCATCGGACAAAAGTACCCTTAGCTGTTTCCAGTACATCACATGTTGTGTTGGTCAACAATCGAAACTTTTTCAATCTAGGTGAACTGCCTCAGAAAACAGTGAAATCGGAGAAATATATATGACTGTTGACTGTTAAGACAAGAAACTATCGTTTTGCTATCTGATCAACGATAAAAAGTTTCATGTATATAAGCATCACATATCTCATTATCTATAACAGTGTTATTATAGGAATACCAAAAAGATATTAGAGTCACGGATCACGAATTTCTTCAAACCGTGACATGGTAGTGTCGTCTTCTGAACCAGTTTTATTATTTGTTTGCTTGATCTTAATCAGCTGAAGGATTGACTTGAAAGTGAGTTGACTGTCCGGCAACAGTAAAAACTATTGACCGGTCGATAGTTTCGACTATATCATGGCTTGTTATGTTTTCATTGTAATTGTTCTTGGGGAAACTAGTTAATAAGAGTAGATGTAGAATCGGGTAACAAAGTCGTCTATAGCACATTCCATTAAACGCTAAAACACTTAAATATACAATGCATATCCCAGTGCGTACTAGCTATTCATAGAACGCCAAATGTCTGTCAGCAGACCGATCTATCTTGGTTTCTTTAATCGCCTCAATTATGTAGCGGGATACAGTGGCTAAATTATGTTCTAGCGTCAGAATTATCGACTTTATGGAGTAAAACCTCGTTATACTGCCACCAATTTGTCCAAAAAATGTTGGCGTTATAAAAGGGTTTGACGATAAATGTTTGCAAATATATAAAGGAATTCTTAAGAAAACAAGAAAAGGGAACAATGAAATAGGTTGGAGGTAAACAAGGAAACTCGGGCTAGTGAACGATGTGGCATATGAAACTAGGGGCAATGTATCGCGGTTTTACTGCGCTTCATAATCATCACGATTATCGCGATCACGATTATCGTTATCGTCTAATGTTATGAATATATTGCTTAGAAAGAATCGAGTTTCATTACTTTCCATTAAATTAATTTGCAGTTGGAAATAATGTGGTTATGCAGAATATTGCAGGGGAAATGAATGTGGTGGAGTTATTGATCCGACGATATCATATGCAATCTAAGGAAGGAAATAGTTTGTACGATGGCACTGGATGTGTTCGTAGAGACCTAATATATATTGAGTCATCCGGGGATACGGTGTCGTGTCCAGCACAGGGGATCAATACCGTTATACAGCCTTGCTCAAGTCCGGGACACTATAATCAGACGGAACAATTTAACGCACTGTGCATATCACAAGTGACCAACATTGTTGCGCAAGACGGGAACCTCATATCAATAAGTAACGAAGATTAGAGGGAGGGGGTTGTCTTGTTCGGTCATGCACTGTTTTGATTTTATCAGTGTTGAAGGGTCGAGTGATGTCTCATAAATCTTGTCCCATTGGCCAGACTATGCAGCTGCAGCAGTATTGGGAAACGCTAGCTTACTACAATATCCAAAGATCGATATATTTTACAAAAATGAAAAATAAGTTTGTATCATCATATATTAGCTTGCGAAGTCGGTACTGGGAAATGCACGCGCATGTACGTCTGATGAGAAAGATAAATATTGAACTCTAATGCCGAATTTTGTCTCTGTAATAAAGATTTTAACTACCGCTATACCTTTTACAGTTCGGACTTGAGCAAGGCTTTTTCTGACGTACGGATAGTCTTGCTCAAGTTCATGACTATTTTTGGGTGGGGCAATTTAATCCTGCACCTGTGACCCGAACCAACATTATCTGATTATTTACATTACTGCCCTGACCCAAGATAAAGTACAACAAGTAGACGGGAACTCCTATATGTACAAGGCTGGCATATACTGCCGGGGGACATTTAACAGGATTCAGGCAAGGTGTAAATATGGCGGCCGAGCTTCAGGCATATTGATACAGCAGGTCACATGCAACGGAAAATGACATATTTATCATTCGGGTCACGTTTCAAACACAAATCAGAGCTGGAAACCGATTATAGAACACAGATATACATGTGTATGTATGAACATATATATATACAAATACTACTACAATCCGATGAATTCTTCATTCATAAAATTAGATGATCATGAATAGTGTGATATTCAGAGGATGATACTAATATACTAATATTCTTAAACTTAAATATTTAGTACTTCATCCAAATGATGCTTAATTGAGATACATTGTTTTTGTTGGTGTTGTCTTCCTTGATTGTCAAACATGTCAAATAATGTTCATGTAATAAACAAGATTGGCCACCAGTTAGGGGGTATTTGATTCCTAACTCTCACTCTGACGATCTCTTTATTTTGGCCTTAGCAATGCTGATTTACTAATAAAAACAAGCCTGTCCATTATACAAATCAAGTATTTATTGTTTTCATTTAAGAAATATTTGTCGACAATTGTTAATGATATTCTTAGAATCTTAGATATGACATAGTGGAGGATAAAGCGAATACGTGTCCCAATGTCGACGTCGAGATACAAGTCGTTTTTGTAGAGGAAACTTTACTTGTGTATTTAAGGACG